TATATATATATATATATACATACATACATACATACATACATATATTCCTCATGTATACAAAATAACAAAAAAGATAATACAAATTTAAATTTTTAACAAAATCTACCGATGAATTTTTTTAAATTTATAATTAAGAAATTTCAGAATTCGGGATTATAAAAAGAATAAAGATAAAATTTTAAAATAAAAAAAGTGTATAGGGAAAATGTATAAATAAAGAACCGAGTCCAACTACTTTATATTTACGAAGTTATAGGTACTAGAACGCCAAGTAGGATGGAAAATAGATCGATAGCAGAAGCGAACACGTGCCACATGACCCTAAGACATCAGAAGTATATGTATAGTAGAATCGTGTATTTTATATAGGCGCGGTTCAGAAAACGAGGTTGATAGCTCACCATTCATTTATGATTCAAACTGGAAGCAAATTTATTCATTTATGTCTGGAATTATTAATAAAAATCAATACATTAATTTTTAATACATTAATAATAAATTATTAACATATTAATATTACAATATTAACACATTATAGACATAATCCTTAGAATTCTATTAAAAATTCTATTAAAAATTACATTTTCAAATTATCTTTTCTAAATTTTGTAAATATTTCAGTCTATTTTCCATTCCAATTGTTGATAAATAAATCTTGATAATGAATATTTATACTATTAAATAAACAAAAAAAATTTATTGATATAATTATCTTTTCTATTCTATCTATAAATAAATCTAAGCGAACAATTGATTTGAGATAAAAATACTCCAAGAATAAAAAAGGAAATAACTTTATATATATATATATATATAACGAACTATCTCGAACTAGACCAAACTGGAACTATACGGAGTTATTTTTTGTCCAGGCTGAGATATCGAGTTCCATTGAACGTCTATAGGAAGAGATGTCGCGAAAATCTTTAAACATTTTACTATGCAGAAATATAGAGAACACGATGGAGGACGCAGAAATTGGAACACCCGTGATGTAGGACGCAATTTGGCAAGTTGGAATTACACGAGATGGAGCACAAAAGTTAAGAGAGCCAATGCTTACAAATATGTTCGACTACTCTAATGCTATGCCAAAAATCAAAAATTTCTATCCGTTATAAAGTAGAAATTGAATTCATTCAGAGGAAAGATATATATTCATGAAAAATTAAATAATTGATTGATTTTAATTTTAAGTTTAAAAGAATTATTCAAATTTTAAATTTAAAATAAAAATTATGTAAAAATCTTTTTAATAAAAAAAAAAATATATATATTTTTGTTTTATAAAAAAGAACAAATAATTAAAGTATATTTATCATGAATCGAATTTGCACATTACAAGATATCTGTATCTGTTCAATTTTTCTAATATTATGTTATTTATTAATATTAATCTAATATTATGTTATATTATTAATTCTTGCTTTTAACAAACTTAGAAGATAAATGAATTTCAAATATGGGTCGTTTGAAAACCGGTCACTGCACTTTCTGATAAACTCATCAATTTGATGTAAGAGAGAGTAGAGTTAAAGACTTTCCAATAGAAATACATTGCAAGTTTTCTGCTCCAATAAAGCTAACGTAAATAAATGAAATTACTCAAGAATCGAGAAATTTTATTCTATATTTTATAATTCAAAAAATAAAAAATATGTAAATAATTCAATATGGATACTTATTTCTTAGTTATCTAATCATTGTTATTTAGATAAATTAATCATCAACGAAATATACAAAAAAAAAAAATTAAAAATTCATCTAAAATACAGTTTATAGAAGTTATTATAGTTTATGGAATAAATATATTAAATTATGTTAATTGGAAATTTATTGTACGAGATAAGTAATATCGATAAATATTTTATAGTTTGTACGATAATCACAAGAAAAAAACTTTCAATCTATATTGTTTTAAAATTAATAGAAAACTAACTAACTAAGAATCAACGAAACCAACAAACATTTCTAAATTTAAGCTAAAGATTATATTCCATGATGTTATCATGTTTTATTTAACATACTAATACTCAATGACGTATACGAATTACTTAAGTGATTTTTCCTTCTAGTTTTCTTTATCCTCGAATTTAGATCTTATCTTAATGTAAACGGAACAAGATTTAAAAATCAGATCAAGTATCACAAAGACCAGTAGTTAAAACGAATAGAAACATAAAAATTTAATATTATATCTATTTACTATATATATTATACTAAAGATTAATTAAATAATTGATAAAAATATTTTTTAATATAAAAATAATAAAAAGATTCATTGAAATTTTTCCATATCATTTTTCCTATCACATATCTTAACAGAATAAAAATTTTACAAAGAAGAATTTTTGAAGTCTCTGTTATTCTTTTATAAATGCTATAATTTCAATAATTAACTTAAATAATTTGTGACGTAATAAAACTCACTGTACTTTTGGAAATAATATCTCATTGATCGCGAATTCTTACTAATTATGTATAAAAGAAAAATTAATCAAAAAGTTCTAACGTTTTATTAAATTTTTACATTGTTTTTATGTTTAATTTGTTCAATTTTGAAATAAAAAAAAACCTCGATTAATTTACGTGGTTACGCATGTCTATGTCAATAAGAGATGCCTCTCTTACGTCATTCTCAGTGAGAGATAATAAATACATGGCCATAAGATACATGCATTGGCAAAGATATATATGCGATGATTTACACAGTTAATGTATATCTCAAAGATATAGTATGAAGAAAGAACATTGGAATTGTAAACGCGGTCACGTGCCAAATATATTCGATCTTCGAAGATTGGGTAAATTCCTTCTTCAGTTATTTTTTTTTTCTTCTCAAGTTTTCCGTGATGCGGAAGATTCGTCTATATATCTAATTTTCTTGGAAATGCACTATACATATATAGTATATTAAAACAAGCTTGAAACAATAAAATGATTCATTTTAGTTCTATAAAATTCTATAGTTTTATTAAAGAGATTAAAATTTAGAATATTGAAAATATTCAAAATATTAAGATTAATTAAATAAAAATAAATGAACCAGTGTATCTTTTCGATTCGAGCGATTCTTCCGGATCAGATATTTTATTGGATCTCTACTACTATTTTGTAAAATACAGATTTATCATGAAATAATATGAAAAGATTGAACACACGTGCTTGCTACGTGAAAGATACACTTTTTTTTTTGGCACCTAATTATAGTTTGAAAATTACATATATAACTACATACCATAGGAATCTGAGGGATGCCTACTGCGAAGATTCCGCATTGGCATACATTATATGAATAACATAGAAAGACAGCATGCATAAGGATTCTACAATGATTCAACGTTACACAAAAAAAAATTCTGCTCTGAATCATCGGTTGAATGTACTCACTCTTTCAATTTTTTATTCATACGTAATTAATCTTAACCTATATTAATTCTATAAATAATTAATTAACATTTCAAATTAATGATTTATTTTAAGCAAAAATATGATAAAATAAATGATCGAAAAATTTACGCATAATTAATGATATTTCAAATTAATTGAATAAGTTTATTCGATTTTCAAAGAATGATCAAAGTAATGCTTATGCGCGAAGGTCACATGACTTAGCGTTTCGATGACGAATCGGTAAAATTATAAATACGCTATAACAGTATCTACGAATCAGTACATATCATAGAGATATTTGCAGCAGTAACAAAAGTCGGGCATCGGTTAAGAATATGATTCATTAAAATGGTTCGTTACATTTCATGCGAAAATGTCAATCGTTAATTATAATAAATTAATGCGATTGGAAAATTATTGAAAAAATTATAAGAAATTAACAATAAATTAATGGAAAATTTTTTTAGTAAAAAAAATAAAAATATTTTTAACAACAATATCTGTAATAACAAAAACATATCTGATAAATGACAATATAATGATTTAAAGAATTTTTCTCAGAAAGAATTAAAGAAGAAGATATAAGAAAATAAAAAATTAATTTATGATATTTATTAAAATTAATATAAAAATTCATATATTTTTATTGTTATTGAATTTAATAACATCAATAAATTCATGTAAAACTTTTAGTAAAAGTATTAATTCCCGGGGATTACATGCTCGTTACCTGTATCGATAGTTGAAATCATTTAAAGTAAGTTTTAACCTAGATCTAACCTAGACCTAGAATACTAAAAGACTGACAAAAGTTTTTAATCGGTTTGGTCGGATAATAGTTACGTAATAAACTAAAGATATCCTAATGAAAATATTTTGGTAATAAATATAAAATGATTTGTATAATGGATATATTACAGAATATGTAAACCAAAAGAATTGGCCTAGTTACTGAAATAAAGATTATTATGAAGTTTTAGTTGGTAGTATTAAGTTGGTAGTCTTGCTGCTTATATATGAATAAATATAAAGATTTCAGAACTAATGAAGAAATATTCATAAAGAAAGTAATTAGTAAATTCATGAATTTTTCATTAATAGTGTAGATATCTTATAAGTGGATTTGTGAACGATAGTGTTGAATTACAAATTTAAAATGAAATAAATTTACTGCAGAAAAAAATTACATTTTAGCAGAAATTTTTCGCATTAATATGAATAAATGTATGGATTATAAATTACATTATAGTATTGCAAATCTATCATCGCGAATATTTTATTGCTTTACATTTAATCTGTAAAGTCTATAACATATAAGAAAATCGATTGAAGAATATGGAGTTATCATGTTTTTACATTGTAGATAAGATATAGAACTCGGTAAAAAACATATATATAGGTATCGATTAGCGTACTCATTCTCGATAATCACGAATAATATACAAATATAAAAAATATGTACTTCTAATAGAAATTTAGTAATATTTTCAGAATTTTTCGTTCATCATAAGAATAGTATAAAATTACATAAAATATATAGTCAAATTCATACTTAAAATAGTAGATATTAATCTCATGTTGAAAAAAGTTTCGTAAATAAAAATAATCAATTTTGATGTGAAATAGATTTTCATATAAATTTTCAATTTTTTATAAAATATTTACGAAATAAAATTGTAATAATGAAAATTGTAATGATGTTGTATTATTCTATGGTATATATATATTAAAGATGCATCAAAAATAGATGCATGCTCCCAGGGTTAAATGTAAACATTATTCTTGTCTGGTTTACAAATAACGGCAAAATTGAGCGAATAAAACATTCACGGCACTAGAATGTAGAGGTTAAGTTTACTTTTCAATAAACAAGGTATGCGACTAAAAATATAAACAAGGAAAATATATCTTTACAAAATTATTTTAACTCTAATATGAATACAAATATGACAACTTATAAAAGATTTTTTTAATTTTATGTTATAAACTATAACTATATAGTATCAAAATGAGATGGAGACAAAATGAAAATTATATTTATAAATTCTAATCTATATTATCCTGACAAACATTTAAAATTTTTTTACACTACACATTTTCACAACTAAATGTACATTAATATATTTTTGACTTCAAAGATTTAAAGCTTTAATTATTACAATTGATTCGAATAAAAAAATTTTTTTTTAAAAATTACTAATTTTTTTATACGAAAGAAATTTCTTCATTTTTTTATATATTGTATAGTAAAATATTCAACAAATAATAATTGAAAAAGTATTTATGTATTATATTTATCTGCAGACAATATAGTAACAATACTATCGCGATTAAAAGTTTTGTGATTTATATAATAATCGAGCGAACACAAAAATTTTCCGCGTAACGATCGCTAAAACTCAGTAAAGTTTTCTGGATGGACTAGTAAAATAGGGTCAATTGTTACGCAACAAAAGTTGCTTGGCGTGGGTACTTTGCGTACGTCTCTTGGAATGTAACTGCAGCATCAAATGTTGTGATCCTAGTGTCTTGCATTATAACTAAAAGTGCGCAATTCGAATGATCGTGAAGGTCAAAATTCACCATATTAGAAAATTATATTCGAAAATCACATGTTCAAATTTTTACGCGAATGATATTAAGTATATATAACATAACATAGAGATTATAACATAAATACAATATAAAAACTCTATATTGTAAAAAAAAAATAACATATCATAATATATGTATTTTTGTCAAAAATACTTCAAAATAATTAAAAATAATTTATATGAACAAAAATTTAACTTTAGCTTAAAACGATTCCAGAAATGACTTTATACATAGAAATAAACGATTGCTAAACATTTTGATTTGCTTGAATTTTTTAGATTGATTATAAATTATATATACATATGTACAATAATAATGGGATCTAAGTAATACCAATAATTTTATCATAAATCAAATTTTTAATTTATTTTAAAATCTTTTAAACAATCTTTAAATATTCAATTTAAAAAAATAATTGAAAATAGATTGATGCCTTGTTGAGATACTTATATTTCTAATGTAATATGGTATAATCGAAACTAAAAATAAAATTTCATAATTTGTCAAGATATATTATTTGCATTAATGCGAAATATTCGTAAAAATTATATTACATAAAAAACATTTTCAATTTAAAATATAATATATTATATATATATAAAAAGAATAATATTTGTATAAGTATATACAAATAATAAGTGTATGTATATACATATATATAATATAATATATGTACATACACATACACACACATATTATTCTTTTTATATGATATTAAAAAAGTTTAATAAATTTAATTATAATTAAAATAACCTTGTTTGCAATTAGCGCATGTACAATAAAGATTTCAGACACCATGTGATATCTACGTCACTACTAGTGATGATTAAATCTTTTGAATTACAATTAATTTTTAATTATAAATATTATATAGAAATATCTTCAAAAATTTTCAAAGAAATAAAAAAAAATTAGGCAGTAATTATCTCATTTATCTCAGAAATAAAATTCGATTGACATCTTCTTAGTATTCAATAATATTAATTTTCTTATATTAATTTATTATGATTATATTATAAATCATATTTACAAAAAATATGAAGATTTTTTCCATATTTAATTAAAAGAAAGAATTTTATTTTTAAATATTTTTTTTATAAAAAAAAATAGCCTACACAAAGAATCATATACAATTTGACAATACAACGAATGCTATATAATAAATGATATAACATGATATAATAATATAAATGATATAATAAAGGCAAAAGAATGAAATACGAATAAATGAATGATTGAATAGTAGATAATCCAAAAGAAAGGATAAGTCTCACCTGCCTGGACCGTGACGAGGGTGCCCGCTAAATATAGCATTCCCAGCAGCACAAAAGCAGCTCGTCTCTCCATCTCGTGGCGCTGATGTACGCGGTGGCGCGTGACTGTGTGCACTTTGCAATAGTAACGATTCTCTTTGAAGAAGGTTTCTAAAAAAGAAACTGCAAAATAACACTGCCTAGGCAGGGCTGCCGCTTTGTTTTCGCGATCGTTGTCGCCGTCGTATCGTAGCCACCGTTGTCGTTGTCGTCACCGTCGCCACCGTCGCCGTCGCTGTCGCTTGTAACAACCTTTCCGGCAGCTCCTCCTTTTCGGCTGTCCACTCAGCCAACTACGATCAAGCCCCACTACTTTCTGTGATCATTTACACATGCACTCGTCACTTCGAGCACTGTATCATTGACGTCTGAATTTTTTTATCGTTATCTCGCACCGTTTTTATCTTGGTGTTTTATCTTGGCACAGAATAACACCACAATCCTATATAGTACCGATTCTTTTTTGTTACTTGATCAACTTGAAATTATTAAAAAACAATAATTAGCACCACAAGCCGCAGAAACAACAGTATCAGTTAAAATGGCTGCCACTATCTTCTGCTTAATTTTCTGCGTCTTTCTTACTTTCTCAATTGTCGATCCTTCCTTTTCGCACTCCGGTAGACTACTCACATACGTCCTCTACAATTATCCAATAAGTTTCGTAGACGCATGCGCCATATCCCAAAATATGTAACTTAAGCAATTTTTTAAAAATAATTTATTTTATAATCCAATATGATAATATCATCAAATACAATTTAATTGTTGAATCACATTATATTTTTTATATAGTAAAATATTTATTATGGATTATTTGATATATAATATGACTTATTAAAAAAAATTTATTTTAAATCAAAGATGCATAAATTTGCATTAGTCATTTGACAAAATGACTAATATGCTATCAATATTATTACAATAAGGACGAATTAAATTATAAAATGAATTTCTATAATATAATAAATGAAATTGCAACATAAAATGTAAAATTCTATCAATATATAAATATACTATATCATGACTTAAATATATTTAATTTTATTCATTATTCAGTGATACCATACTTAAGATTTTCATAAAATTATTTTACAAAATTTTAAATTATATATATATAATATATAATAATATAAATTTATTTAAATTATTTACATTTATTTAAGAAAAATATTAAGATAAGTTAATAAAATAAATATAATAGTACAAGATTTATCTATAAAGTTACAAAGTTTTGGTAATATTGCA